CTGGCGATATGATTTTTATACTTATATGGTTATTATTATATATATGATATAATAACCAAGTCTAATAATAATCAATGAGAGGTACATAAAAAAAACCTGTGTTCAATCAAGTACTTTAGTAAAGTACTCAAAAAATATATCTATTGATCAGTGCATTTTCATGGCCTTTAGAGTTAATTTATTACTGAATAAGGATTTTAAAAATATATTTCAGACACACAACCTAAATCATTTAATCAGTTAAATATTTTAGTGTTCTATAAATACATTCAAAAAAATAAACCTACATGATTTTTCCTCGAACTTAATCATTTTACACTTTTCTAGAACTTTACATTTTAATTAAGTTAATAATATATTATGTATAGATATATGAATTAATATATACTATATATGTTTTGTAACTGAACCAAAAAACATTCATGTTAACCAGCCAATCACATATATTTATTAGCTGTAAACAACAGTATCAAAATGTCTAAATACTGTCAGATCAATCGACCCCTGACCGATATCTTGATTTATCAGTGCACTGGTCAGTCAGGTCATAGAGTGGCTAATGGTGTCTCTACCTGAACTGAATGTTCACTAGATGTGGCTGAGAGCCATCGGACTGCCAGTACGTCTCCAGATTATCATCCCTCAACTGGTCGACTCCAAACCCTTCACACAGAAACAGAACGAATGAATGAATGAATGAGTAAACAGAGGAAAACAAAAGATGCATTGATCAGGTGTGCAATGATCAAAAACAGAGAATAAATAAGACACACACACCTGGCTTGCACGAGGACAGCGACCACACGGCTTGCGATCCGATCTCTCGGACGGTACCGGTGCGCTCCAGCTGCTTGGGATCTGCACCTGGGGGGGTTTTAGTGGTCGTCGCCATGGTCACTGAGGAGTGAAAATGAAGACAGACAGAAGAGATGGAATTAAACAACACCCACAGACAGTATAAGATACACTACAATTATAGAACTGGTTTACAGATACATTTTACATAAATGTGGAGTTTTCACTTAGAAAAAAGCATGAAAACAAAACACTAAAACTACGGTATTCTTATTTTGAGATTAATTTTTTAAATGTTATTTTACACACACACACACACACACACACATATGTATAATTCTGTAATTAATTCTATTAATTCTATAATTCTATGTAGAGTTCTGCTAAATGAGTCATGACTAAATAAAATAAATATATGTATGCATGCATGCATGTACGTATATATGTATATATATATATATATATATATATATATATATATATATATATATATATATATATATATATATATATATATATATATATATATATATATATATATATATATATATATATATATATATATATATATATATATATATATATATATATATATATATATATATATATATATATATATATATATATATATATATATATATATATGAAGAGTTCAGATGGAAAAGCATCTAAGCGTCTGATTTTTTCCCCCAAAATGAGCATTTTTATCCGGCTCTTATGTGTAGGTTCAGTGATTTCAATTTAATGGCAATGATTAGGTTCTTTTCATTGCCTTAAAAGTTAAATAACTAAGCATAAACATAGGAGCCAGATAAAAATGCTCATTTTAGAAGATAATTTCAGACGGCACTTAGAGGCTTTTGCAGCTGAACTCTTCATATACTGTATATATATATATATATATATATTGCAAATGAGAAGATAATAGTAATACATTTGCAAATTTGAAAATAAAATGTTAAAACAAGAGAAAAATCTTCCTTCATCATTCAGCATAAAAGATATATTTATGTAAAAATTAAAAAAAAAAATAAAAACCTTTAATTTTTTTTATTAAATTTAAAATGTTTAAAACCTGTCGCTGACAAATGAGGAAAACCTAGTGGTTTGAAGGATGGTGTCAGTTAGTCATGTTAGTTTTTGGGCCTGCAATGTGATTCCTAAATGAAGTCTTTTAATGTCATCTAATGATTCTTAAATATGCTGACAAAATTTGTAACTATTGTTCAAATGAATGACATTTTAGTGGGTGTCTCCTGTAAATCATGGTAAAGATGTATGTCATCATCATTATATAGTTATACTTTACTCAGAAAAATTTTTATTAAACAGGAGACATTCTAATGTACGGGGGGAAATTATTGTTTTGATGCTTGAAGTATATATATATATATACACATTTTATATACTTTATTTGATTCCACATTACAAGTAAAATTTCATTAGGAATCAAATTTTTTGAATGATCTAACAGATTAAAGCAAATCCGCACATTGTTATGGATTATACAGTTCTATGGGTACAGGAAACATTGCCTTTTCCAAATAAACATGCTTCCTATAGTTGCTGAGATTGAACAGTACTTTGCCAACTTATTCGCAGGTTGGGAGTGGGAGGTCCACTTCAGTTCAGTACCTGTCCTCCAGCATAGATCGTTTAAGTCTGGCCAGTCTGATGACACACCAAATCCCCGTGCCCGTCCATCCAGCTTTCCATTGGTCTTTCTTTTAAAACCCAGGAAGCTGTCTTCCCCGCCGCATGCGTGTGGCACCTTCCGTCTTTTAAAATCCAGCAATAAGGATGCTCTGGCCATTCGCCCCACGCTGATATCATCACAGTTTAGCATATTGATAAGGTGAGACTGTCTTGTGGCTATGTACTCCCACATGCGGTTTGGAACTCCAAGCCCCCCATCCTATCTTTTCTGGAAGATAAAACATCTTGTGGAATGTGTGCTGAGACAAAGCCATTTCCTAACCACATTTACGGTTTTGTTGTCCATTTCA